GAATCTTCTTGGGCAGTTTTGGTTGTGAGCTCACTTGACCAAGCTAGACTGTGGAGAGTACTCTATCGTCCCCTGGAGTGACTAAGAGAAACCCTTCCAGACTCCTTTCTCATTTCCAGGAGGCTGGGACGTGGGCATTCTACAGTCTTAAAGGGCAAGGGTCAGAGTTCTGGTTTCTACCCAACGAGGGAGGACCCAACCGTAACGACAGTCTCCCTCCTCCCTCCCCTCCTCCATGCCCTTCCCCTCCCCCTCATCCTTCCACAAACCTTCCTTGGCTGTACTAGAGAGAGGAAGATGGCTGTTTTATGGGGGTAGAATAAGTTTTCTGCTAATACTGGGGGTGGAAGATGGAGCGGTACAGTCAAACTGAGCACTCCTGGATCCTACTGGAGGAAAAGGGTATTAGTCACAGACCCATCTGAGACTATGGACTCCCCACTTAGATTCCCAGCATATTTTGATACTAAATGGAATTATTTGTTAGAAAATAAGAAATGTATTGTCTAATCAAATATGCTACCAGATAACTCCCATAGGAGAATTTTTTTTTTTTTTCTGAAATGGGGGCAAACACAGTGTAACTGAGATTTATTACAAACATTTCCATTAATTTTGGGAGTTATGAGGAGTGACCACAAACTTGAAAGGCTGAGAATACCAAGTTTAGTTTTATAATCAGATAAAACCGAAAAAGTCAGCTTGACTCTATATATAAAATCATTGTGATGCTACATGGTAATTAGACATTATCAGCAACAGACACAAATGATGACTTAGGATTACTCAGAATAAAGCTAACTAGGGCTTCCCTGGTGGCGCAGTGGTTGAGAGTCCACCTGCAAATGCAGGGGACACGGGTTCGTGCCCCGGTCCGGGAAGATCCCACATGCCGCAGAGCGGCTGGGCCCGTGAGCCATGGCCGGCTGAGCCTGCGCGTCCAGAGCCTGTGCTCTGCAACGGGAGAGGCCACAACAGTGAGAGGCCCACTTACCGCAAAAAAAACAAACAAACAAACAAAAAAAACACAACAGAATAAAGCTAACTACAGTTTTTATGATTTTCCTCTTCTGCACTAGTTTTATTTCTAATATGGATCATAAATAACAAACCACACAAAGTCACTCACATACAAAGCAAATTCCCTCCACTCCCTTCCTTCTGCTGATGAGTTTATTTGTAAGACTCTTCACCTGCACCGTCTTCCTGTGTGTCAGAGGATGCGCCCTTGACCTCATCCTTCCCATCTCTGGAAACTTGCTCCATCATCTTCTTCTGCCCTTTGTAACTTTAATCCTTTTCTCACCACCCCGACCTAGTATGCCTTCCCTCAAACCTGCCTGCCCGCAAGCTACACGTGGCTTTGTCTTTCTAGTTCCTGTCACTACCAATCTCTGAAAGCAGAGTCAACACTCACCATCTCCATGTCCCCAAACGCCATCAACTTCTTGTTGTTTAGTAAGTCCAATTTCATTTCGTAATTTGAAAACTGCCTCTAAAGGCATTTTTACATTTATTTTTATTTTTCTCAAAGTAACTCATGCATCCAGGGTAGGGTAGAGGGTCCAATGAAACTAGAAAACTCACAATGCTTACAGGGATACCCCGCGCCACCTCTCCTTATCTCTGAGCCCCGCTCCCCAGAGTCAACCATTTTTACATCTTGCTGTTATTTCTTCTGCTATTTACCTGTGAATTTCTAAATGACATGAGTATTTTTATCATGTTTAACTTCCAACATAGGATAGAACTTAGCTACCTTACACCATCACTCCACACACCTCCCCTTCTCCCACTGTCCCCATATCCCTATGACAATGTGTTTATTTTACTCTTTATTTTACTTCCCTCAAGTGTAGAATCTTTGGCTACCCACTCATATTTAAGTTTTAAAATAGGGAATGGTAGTTTGGGGTGTCTGGGCACCTCTTCTCCACTATCTTTAACCTTGTGAGATTATGTCTTTTTTATTCCTTTATTGTCTTCCTGGTTTTCAAGAGGACAAAGAAATAAACAAAGGTTCTCAATCCAACAAGCTTAACCATTAACTTCCTAAACAATTCCAGTTTAAATGCCACACTCTACTTCCCGTGTTCTTATGAAGATCACACAACTATCAATGAACTAACATGTGTTCAGTGCTCATCCTACTTGACCTTTCTGTTAATCAATCATTCCCACTAAAAATGTTTCCCTGGTTAGGTTTTAAGACTCTGCTCTCGCTTGGTTCTGCATTTAGCCCTCTTATTATTCAGTCATATATTACTTCATTGGTCTACCTCAGCCAGCCTCTTTTTTAAAATTTTTCAAATTAATTTTTTAAATTTACAGAGGGGAGAAACATTTTTTTTCCTTTTAATTACAGGCATATCTTGTTTTATTGCACTTCGCAGATACTGCACTTTGCACAAATTGGAGGTTTGTGGCAATCCTGCCTCAAGCAAGCCTATTGGCTCCATTTTCTCCAAAAGCATTTGCTCACTTCGTGTCTCTGTATCACATTCTGGTAATTCTCACAATATTTCAAACATTTTCATTATTATTGTATTTGTTATGGTAATCTGTGATCATCAGTAATCTTTGATGTCACTACTGCAAAAAAACTACAGCTGACTGAAGGCTCAGATGACGGTTAACATTTTTTATCAATAAAGTATTTTTTAATTAAGGCATGTACTATTTTTTAGATATAATGCTATTGCACACTTAATCGACTACAGTATAAACATAACTTTTATATGCACTTCTATATGAAACAAAAAATGTCACTTATTGCTATATTCACTTTATTGCTGTGGTCTGGAACCAAACCTGCAGTAATTCCAAGGCAGGTCTGTAGTGTTTGCAGGGCATATTTTTTTTTCCAGCTTTTTTACTTTTACCTATCTATATCTTATATTTAAAGTGTGTTTCTTGCCGTCAGAATATTGTTGGGACTTTTAAAAAATTCTAATCTGGCATTTTCAATATTTCAGTTGGTGTGTTTTGACAATTTCCATTTAACATAACTACTGACAAGGTTGAATTTAGGTCTACCACTTTACTATTTGTTTTCTGCTGGTCTCCTCTGTTTCTGTTCCTTTGTTTTCTCTTTCCAGATTTATCTGGGATTATTTTAATTTTTTAATATTCCGTTTTAATTAAAATACTCTTTTTGACTGAGAAGGTCACATTTGAGAAGAAACCTGAAATGAAAGGACGGTGTGAACCAACAGGAGGAAGATTCTACACATAGGGAACAGCCTGTGTGAGGACCCTGAGTCAGGAAGGGAGCCTGGCATTTCCAAGGAATAGCAAAAGGCCGAAGTGGAGTAACCTGAGTGGAGAAGAGAAGAACGCTGACAACAAAGTCAGATCAGCGAGCAGCAGTTAGGTCACTAGGGTCTTGGTTGGCCATAGTTAAGAGTTCAGATTTTATTCTAAGTGTGATGGGACGTCATCGGAGGGCTCTGAGCAGATGAATAACTTGCTCTGCTTTATGTTTTGAAGAGGCGTCTCTGGCTGCTGTGTGGAGAACAGCATGTAGAGGGAAAAGAGCAGAAGCAGAGAGGCCAGCTGGGAAGCTACTGCAGTAATCCAGGGGAGAGAAGGTGCAGGCTGGAAGGAGGAGGAAAGCAGTGGCAAAAAAATGAGAAATGACTGAATTTAAAATATGCTTTGATAGCAGAGCTGACCACACTTGCCCATGATCTAGATGTGGGATGTGAGGAAGGAGAGGGATCAAGAATGATTCCCACCAGACTATGAGCTCCTCAAGGACTGGAAATCTGTCTTACTGATATTTGTCTCCGTATCTTCAATGCCAATGTCAGTACCATGCCTTGTCTGAAGGAACACAGGATTTGGAATCAAGTGAGACCTGAGTTCAAATCTTGCCTCAGTTCTTCCTGGCTGACTAAGACTTGATTTAACCTCTTTTGAATATCAGCTTCCTCTTCCATAAGTTACAGTCATAAATTGTGCAGCATTATTGAGAATCTGGCAGGTAGTACAAGTGTGATGACTAGAGTTAATGCTGTTAAGTACTAAATAAATACTTACTAGGTGGATAACACAGGCCCTGCATTTAATTCTCCAACAGCTGAGGTCTTTTGCTTCCAACCCCCATTTTCCTCACTTTCTCCACCCAACACTATTGTCCAGAGTTCCACAGACTTTTTTTTTTTTTTTTTTTGAAGTACGCGGGCCTCTCACTGTTGTGGCCTCTCCCCTTGCGGAGCACAGGCTCCGGACGCGCAGGCTCAGCGGCCATGGCTCACGGGCCCAGCCGCTCCGCGGCATGTGGGATCTTCCCGGACCGGGTCATGAACCCGTGTCCCCTGCATCGGCAGGCGGACTCTCAACCACTGCGCCACCAGGGAAGCCCTCCACAGATTTTTGCCTACACCAAACAAAGCTTCCCCTACCTGAGGGAATTCTGAATGGTATATCTCAAAACCAAAACCTAAGGGAGTTCAACTCTTGAAGTTATATTTTACCATAGTGTAAATTGCCTAGAATACAGTTTCTCAGACACTTCCTTAATAATAAGTAATTTTGTGGGACAGAATCTCAAAAGATGGCTCCAGAAGTTGAAAAATAATATCAATACAAGGAAAATTGTGAATGAGAAAGAGCACTAAGCAGCAAAGTAAATGATACATAAATCATTTTATTGTTTGTCTGTAGCTAAGACACTCCCTTAGGGGAGATGATAGTCTTGATATTTCATCAATTCGGAATTTTTTTCTTTTACATATTGGCTATTTATCTGTATTAAAAACAAAGTAAAAAAACACTTTTTTTGCAAAGATTCTATTACTCATTCAAAGTATTTCAACACAATTCTTGCTAAAGTTGAATTATTGCTCATTAATATTGCCATTTATTATCAAGAAAAACTTTTTTACTGGTTTTCAGAAGTGAACATGCAAAATCAAGTGGGTTCACTTTTACAAGTAAACGGAAAGGTTTACCTCTAATGCAAAACTGAACTGCTCTAGTTCAGTGTAGATGAGTCCACGATTAATACAGGCGTTTAACATCACAGTTTCTCCAGCATCAAGGAGAAGCACAATTCCATAATCTGTTAATGCCTAAAAATGAAATAATCACTTACAACCTAAAGTCAACTCTTTAGAGCATTACTGCATTGACCATGGACAAACTAGTACCTCATAATTAGTTCTTAAATGTGACAAAATGTATGGCCAAAAATGATCATTTGTTAGATTTAAAGGTTTCCCTTAATTAAATACTGTGGATGTTGCTCCCTCCTAATAAGCGGTGTGCACTGTGCTTGCACTTCACATGTTATCTGTGAATCATCTGTGAACTACTTTTATTGTGTATGGATTGAAGCGGGGATGCAACACCCTTCCCCAACTTAATAGTTTCACCAAATGACTGTTGACATTAAAGCAGAGCACTTGTTACCTTTTGAAATTTAATTTCTTTGTAGTGATTTATTGTTTTCTTCACTGAAACCTAAGTTTTATGGAGGCACAGATTATCCATTTTGTTCACCATTGTAAAGCCAGTAAACTAGCACCATGCCTGCACATACTAGGCATCTGATAAAGTTTTGTTGAATCAATAAATCATAAAGCAATGAAAACAGATCTTAATAAAACTAACAAATAAGCACTTGTTGGAATATTACTTCAATAGTCTCAGTTTTTTTAAGATATTAGCCTAAGCTGAGAATCAACTCAGAGGACCTGTCTCCATTTTTCATCTTTTTTTTTTTTTTTCAATGAACAGCCAAGTTTTTACTGGTCATCTAGTCTGTACCAGGTACTAGGAGCATCCCAAATTTGGGCTGGAGCTGAATCTCTTAATTCATTTTCCTTCTGAACATTTTGTCCAAAAGAGCCATATGGTTTCATCAGAAAAGGCCCAAATCATATCTCTATGCCTGTAGCACATGCTAACTGAAAATACAAATAAAATGGTACTTTACTATTTGCTTAGTGGTTCTCCTCTACTATTCCATGATTGGGCACTCAAGCATCTAAAAGAATTGTACAATTAAATATCCTATATGTATATTGTGGCATAACTATAAATAAACATTGACAAAGCTGTAAAAATCATTTGTAACACTTGTAAAACAAAACAGAACTAGAATGTTTGCCATTTTACTTTCACAGAATCACAGAATTAAAACCTATATATATATATGTCAAGATGCCTTAGAAATCCACTAAGCAGCTGAATATGTGACACAAGAGGAAAAAAAAGCTGGGAAATGAGATTTCGTGAAGGTCACAATGAGCAGGCTTTGTGTTTTGCCTCTGCTATTATTACTAACCTTTCAGCCTTGGGAAAGTTACTTAACACTAAGCCTCAGTTTCCTCATCCACAAAAGCGGGATATTTATAACTCATCATGTTGTTGTAGAAGCCCACTTTAAAATATTTAGATTATACGTTGGTAAAGCATTTAGCCCAGTGCCTGTCACACAATAAGCCCTAACTGAGAGGTAACTGTTACTGTTTTTATTAATATAAGGTGATAGGAACCAGAATTCACCTTTTCTAGTTTTTATGAAATCATATCTTGGGAGTGCATTTTCTGCACAAAGTACTTGGGTTTCCTCAGTCTTGTTATGGCAGGGGGGGGGGGGAAAGAAAGGGAGGAGGTGACGCTGTAAAATGACATCTGGTCCACATGCTGGAGGTCAGATGGTTTCACAAAGCCACCTAAAGACTGTTAACCAGAAGCAAACAAACCTGCAAACACCGATACAGGTCCCTATTCCCTGTGTGACTTGGATGTGTTTCTAACCTCATCTGTAAAAGGAGCCCATTGGATGAAAAGCGTTGTGTACCTGGCAGCTCTAAAATAACCAATATGTTCTTATTCTAGTTAGGTTTCTATTTACGTAGTTTTTCGTTTTCTTTATTCATGGAGCACTAGCTCTGTTACACATCAGAGATAACAAAGATAGTAGTTCCCTGCCCCCACCCAGACCACTGTTTGCAGTTCAGGGTTACCCAGAAGAGGCAGGAGTAGGGGTGGGGAGGGAGCTGTCAAAGATACCTGCTGTGCAGGTCACTCTGATAAATGATCCTTTAATTAGCTCCTAGAATGGTTTACAACAGCCTGTGTTAAAAATTAGTTATTCATTTGTCAACATTTCTGGAGGAAACCTGATAATCCGGTTACCAGGAATTCTACATCCTCTTAGAAACAATGTTTCTCAACTTCTTCCTTCCATAGCAAATAAATGACTAAATTTCTAAATGTTTTAAACAAATTTAACTTTCCAAGTTTCCAGGAGATTGTGGGAGTGTGCCCACACACAGCAGCAGGTACATGATGCAGTCTTTTAAAGAATGCTTCATTGACTATGGAAGTGGATAGAAACAAGGAAACGGAAACAAGTGGACAGCATAAAGGGAAGCAAGAGATTGGACAAAACACTAAGAAACTACTGACCTGCTCCCCAGTGAGGGATCCTGACTGGAAAAGAACCAAACCAACAAGGAGAGAGTGGACAAGGGGTAAGATTAAAAAATATAAAAGAGGGCTTACACTGGTAGCATCTGCATCAGGACAAATAGAGAAAAAGGTTTGCTGCAGCCATCAGTTAGGCCTTCAAAACGCACAGATAATCCTGGTCACTGGTCCCTGAGCTGGAAACCATCACTCAAAACTCCCTGCTGCATCTGTGGTCTGACCACTGTAAAAAAAATACCTCCACAAACTATTGTAGTTAATGTTGAGATTTTGAAGCAAACAATATTGCTAGTGATCACTGCTTAAAAATTCTGCACACGTTTATCAGTAGAAACATTTTCTCAAATGAAAATTATGTAATACATTTAAATTTACATGGCCTTTAAATGCTTATATAAGCACTGTAAAATTAATTTTTCTTTTGACATTGCAGAGATTGTATAAGAAAATTTGGTAAGCACTAAAAAAGAAAATAAATATTCTCTGAAATGGTTCTTTGGTTTCTCAAGTTTTATGTGTATTTCCACAGAATTATTTTTCCAAAATTGTAACAAAACTAATAAGAAAATACTTTACACATGCTTTAAATAAGTTTACAAATGCTTTAAAGTGTTGTTTACTAAGATGGTCATCTTACCATTTGAAGTTCATTTATCTTGGTGTAACATAATGCTCTGTTATAAAATGCTATATAACAGTTTTTATCCATGTTGATAGCTGTAGTTAAATCTGTAATCGCTAGTTTATAAGTCTATAAAGAAAAAATAATTAAGTGAGAAGGGTTAATCATAACGGACTGAAATTTAGTTGTAAAATAAATTCTTGATTCTATCAGAGTTTTGAGAATACTCATTTAACCACTCTGTGTATCATCCGTGAAATTAAGACAATCAAGCTAATCTTTCACAGAATTAATTAAGTCCCTTGGTAGGAACTGCTATAGTTTCTCTCACATGCAAATAAAATTCAATATATAAACAACTTTAAATGATTATCTTATTTCCATTGCTGCTATATAGCAAGGAAAAAATTAAATTTCTTATGGATAAAAGAGAAGCAAGCCTTATTCATCCAGCAAACATTCACCAGAGCTTGCTTGCTTCTGTCACTCTCACTGTCATATCACATAATCGTCATGTTTTCTATCCATGTTTTCTTTTGCTCCTCTTTGATGCTTCTCTGATACCTTAGATCATCCATTTATATAGATAGTAATTTTCATGGAATTAACAGGTAATGCAAGGTCTTACCTTTGCTTTAAGGTATTATTTGCAAAATATTTCATATGAAATGGCTACAGAGAAAGTTCAAAAAAGAAACACAGGGAGAAAAAATGTATTCCTTGAAGCATCAGATATCGATAGTGTTGCTACATCCAGTAATTTCCATTTAGGAACCATAAACTCAAGTAACGATTTTGTTCTGTGTGTATAACTGTATTATTTAAAATAGTAAAATAATAAAAAATTTCAGACAATCCAAATGTCCGACAATAAAGTGGTGAAAAGTACACTATGGTGGAATATTATGCAGTCATTAAAAATAGTATCTTCAAAGATTATAAGAAGCAGGGCACAACACAGATTATGTAAGTAGCATAGTCACAATTTTGGAAAGTATATATGACATTTTATTAAGAAAAAAAGACAAAATTCAAATACATCAAAATGCTCTCAGGGGGCTTCCCTGGTGGCGCAGTGGTTGAGGGTCCGCCTGCCTATGTGGGGGACATGGGTTCATGCCCCGGTCTGGGAAGATCCCACATGCCACGGAGCGGCTGGGCCCGTGAGCCATGGCCGCTGGGCCTGTGCGTCCGGAGCCTGTGCTCTGCAGCGGGAGAGGCCACAGTGGTGAGAGGCCCGCGTACAGCAAAAAAAAAAAAAAAAAAAAAATGCTCTCAGGAATTACCATTTGATGGTGGGAAAACAGGTGATTTTAATCTTCTCATTTATACCTCTGTATTTTCCAAATTCTCTACAATGAATATTACTTTCCTAATAAAAATACATAATTAGGGCTTCCCTGGTGGCGCAGTGGTTGAGAGTCCGCCTGCTGTTGCAGGGGACACGGGTTCGTGCGCCGGTCCAGGAAGATCCCACATGGCCCGTGAGTCATGGCCGCTGAGCCTGCACGTCCGGAGCCTGTGCTCCGCAGTGGGAGAGGCCACAACAGTGAGAGGCCCATGTACCGCAAAAAAAAAAAAAAGAAAAAAGAAAAAAAAAAAACATAATTAGTGCTATTTAAAATGCAAATGTCAAAAATAAATATCACCATTTTATGAAAAATTATGAATTGAAATCCTTTTGATGTACTGTCAAAGTGTAACACCTTCTATGTAGTTCTGCCTTCATACCATGGCAATTCTCCTCTCACAGAGGATAAAAAGGTAGTGAGTCCCTCCTTGGCACCCGAGCAGCCACCCACTCTAAAATACCAGAGAACAAGGTAGGAAATTGCCTTACCTTGTTGTAGTATTTCAGAACTCCTCTGTAGACGTAGGCACGCACACTCTGAGGATAAATTTTGATGGCCTCATTACAACTCAAGATTGCTTTGGAGTATCTGCCTTTCAAACCATAGTAGGCTACTCGACTTAAATATGCCTTTTCAGAGAAAGAGAGGAGGAAAGCAGGAACAGATATTTTAGTAAAAGCATCAGTTCTACCAAAATATATGGTAGCTGGAACAAATTTATGCCACCCAAAGATGGTATAAAATATAGACTTTTTGTCACTCTCTTTTATTAAGAAAATTTCAAACATACAGAATAATTGAAAGAATACTACAGTAAACACCCATATGCCTACCACCTGGATTCAATAATTATTAACATTTTTCAATTTTGTTGTATCTATTTTTTTCTGAACTATTTGAAAATAAGTTGTAGACATCATAAAACTTCACCCCAAGTCTTCCAGTATGCATCTCCCGTGAAGAAGACATTCTCCTACATAACCACACTACCACTGTATATCTAAGAAAATTAATAGTATTTCCCTAAAATCATCTAATATTTCATCCATATTCAAATTTCATATGCTTTTAAAATCAATATCCAACTGAGTTTCACCTGTTGGATTTTGTGTTGTCTCTAGTCTCTTAAGAGGTAGGAATCAATGTGACAGCGAAACAAGAAGTAAAATTAATAACATAGTATATAAAATAATTATTAATAGGTACATTAAAATATTTACAATATTTGTATACACCACGATTCACGAAGCACTTTTACCTATATAATTTCCCTGTTGGAAATCATATTTTTAGTTCAAGGGGAAATACAGATATATGGATTATTAAAACTGCTGAAAAGTGGGTAAAACTAACTGTTGCTAACTAATAACAATTACATTTAAAGATTTAATAGTTTTAGCAAATTTAACACACTTTCCAAACCACTGAAATTGTTCACTTAAATACCTGGTAATGTTTTGGATCAAGGGTAATTGCACGATTAAAATCCAGGATTGAACTATCCTTGTGGAGTTTTACTTTACAAAGCCCACGTTGATAAAAGCCTTCTGCAAAATCAGGATCTGCTTTCACAGCTTTTGTAAAAGAATCAAAAGCCTAGAAGAGCAAATCATGTAGTGAGTAGAATGTATTAATTTAAAATGTTAATACATTACAGTATATAACTATTGTTGAAAAGTTTTCATTTTAGTTTTTGGTCATTTTAAATATGTTTCTCCCAGCGAACCTTGTGGAGCAAAAAACATTTATGAACAAGCCAGATTTATTATTATAATTTACAGGTTCCCTTACTCCCAGGCTAATGTCTGCATAATCCATGTTGTTACAACACTTTCAGAGGTGTAACTTTAATCATTATTCTTCCTGTTGTGTTTCTTCAAAGAAATCACAATTAGTACATTTATTTTCCATGTGGGCCAGCAGATATATGGTTACAAAATTTCAAAGCAATGGAACTCCAAAATTTTTCCTAATATTGTAAAGCAAAGCTAGGTTTCCTCTGCTTGTCCAAAAGGGCTAAAAACATGAAAAATATTTGTAATTAATCTTATATTTATTGTAATTTTTTACAATAAATGGAACAACTAATCAAGTGCAACTCTTTTTTAAAGTTATGAAGATGCAAGTTTCAGACACTGTCCACCCCTATGAATATAAGGACTGGAAAGGTGTGTGTGTGTGTGTGTGTGTGTGTGTGTGTGTGTGTGTGTGTAGTTGTGGAATATTCAAAAATAGCCAATGGAAAATACATATTTATCATATCATTGAAAATTTTGAAATGGAGAATTCTGTGAAATAGCCAAATACTGGATAAATACATAATAATTGAATCAACTGGTTTTCAATGAATCTGGTTTTATTATGATTTGAATTGCACAGCTGTCAATAGGAGAAATCAAACAGTGTCCTAATCATTTTCCATTTATTCTACATTACACAGAAGCAGTCAATATAAAGTACTTACAATTTAATAAGTAAATTTATACTAATGTGATGAAATTTTGATATAATAATTTCTTAAATTGGTTTAGTGGGAAACATGCGTTAGTCTTCCAAATAGTGTTGACAAACAGGCATCAATAAAATGTTTGAATAAATAAAACAATGTAGTAGGTTTTGCAGGGTGCAGACTGCCTATAGTAAGCCAAGCTTTATAAGAAGCTTTGGTCTAGTCACTCACTGTTTAGGTAGCCTTCAGAAATGGAACTGAATGCAAGGAAACAATTTCTAAAACCATAAAATACCTATGCTCTTAAATACATAAAATACCAGTTGTAAGTTGCCTTCCTCCATGTAACAAAGACCCAAGTGATACAGACAGTCTGATGAAGCTGCTACGGCATTTCGTCCTTTAGCAGAATGAGAAAAGATATCCAACGCCTTTTTAAACATTCTCATGGCTTCCTATAATGATTTTTAAAAAAAGAGAGGGAAGGGAATTTTTTTTCTAATATTTATTTAACACAACAGCCTTAGATGTTAAAAGGAATCCTGAGCACACAGGATGAGCACTACTCTCATTTCACAAGAGGACACACAGACCTGGTAAAGACACAGATCTTGTCAGTGCACCAAGAGGGAGGACTTCTGACAGGCAGGAAATCTGACCCACCCAGGTGCCTATCCTACAGGCAGGTACGTAAGCAGGGTTACACAAGTGGACTTTTGGAACTGTAATTTCTAAATTCTAAAGGGTATTTTCTCGTAGTCTTAAATCAGACTAAAATTTATAGACCAATTTATGACCAATTTCCTAGTAATTATCCTGAAGGGAATGCCAGGCAGCTATTAGGTAGTAAAAGTTCTCCACTGATAATATCTGACGTTGTTTTAATCAACTTTTATTTTGTCCTGCTATGCTCTCAAGGGGGTTCCATTGACACCAGAAAATAAACTAACATCAAAAATTACCCATTTAAACTATTCTGGCAAAATAGTTGAAACTCTTAATGAAAAAAATTCAATTTCCCAAATAGAAACACGTTTTCATAACTAGCTATTCAATGTTATTTACCTAATATATAGAAATACAGCTACTTGTGACTCTTTAGCCCACTTTCTTAATTATATTAAATTGCTAAAGAAACAATGAGGTTGGGCTTCCCTGGTGGCGCAGTGGTTGAGAGGCCGCCTGCCGATTCAGGGGGCACGGGTTCGTGCCCCGGTCCAGGAAGATCCCATATGCCACGGAGCGGCTGGGCCCCTGAGCCATGGCCGCTGAGCCTGCGCGTCCGGAGCCTGTGCTCCGCAACGGGAGAGGCCACAAGAGTGAGAGGCCCGCATATCGCAAAAAAAAAAAAAAAAACAATGAGGTTTAACTTGGATGTCTTTGGGCCCACCCTTAGTTTACGTAACATGTCTCTTACCTCAACATTCATCCTTCCAGCCTCACTCTCAGCACATGCCTTTGCAATAGAAAAAAATGCATCACCTTCTCAATTTCCCTCATTTTTACTTTTCAAAGTCTCTATATCTTCTTCATTTCCATCTTTTTTTCTCCTGTCTTTGAATGGTTTCCTTTCTTCTTTTCAGAGCTAACTCCTCAAGCTGTGCCCTTGACCCCAACAACTCCTTCTGTCCTGCCTTCTGCTTTTGGATCTCTGCCCCTTCATTGCCTCCTGGAGTCCATAAAGTCTTCCATCACATTTAAATTAAAATGAACACATCTTCACTTCCTCCTCTAGCTGATGTCCCACCTCTCTTTCCTTCACTACTCTAAAAAGTAGTGGACGCTCTCATAGGGCAAATGTACATTCCAAACACAGTACCATGGCAACCGTGTGGAGAAAAGCTTGGAAGAGTTCAACACTATTATATAATTCAAACAAAATACAAATATGTTCTGGACTAGGATAATGACCAGAGAAATAGAGAAAGGAAGCAGATTTGAGAGACATTTAGAAAGTAGAACCAAGAGAGCATGACTATTGATTGGGTAGAAGAGGGACCCAATCAAAAGTGACTTCAGGTTTCAGGGAGGTTAAAGTAAATTTAAGATTATTCCAAAGAAGGAATTTGATATCATAAAGGTGTCAATTCTCCCTAAAACAACCTAGAGATTCAATACAATTCAATCAAAATTCCAGCAGGGTCTTAAAATCTTGACCAGCTGGAAGAGTAAAGGCCCAAGAATAACCAGGAATTTCCTGGAGAAGAATATGGTGTGGCAACTTGCTCCACCAGATGTCAAGAATTACAATAAAGCAACAGTAGTTAAAACATTGTACTATTAGGCCAGGGATAGAAAAATTGACCAAAGGAATAGAATAGAGAGCCCAAAATCAGATCCACACACACATGAAAGGTTATAATAGGACAGATGTACCACTTCAGATCTTTGGTTTAGGAGAACATTTCAATAAATGATACTGGAACATTTGAGTATCCATATGGGGAAAATTGAAATTTTATCACTATCTCACATTCAAAAATTTCAATTTAAGGTAGAGTGAGGTCTTAAATGCAAAAAGTAGAATTTTTAAACTTTCAGAAGAAAATATGGGAAAATATCTTTATGACCTTGGTGTAGGGAGGGAATTTTTTTTTTTTTTTTGCGTTACGCGGACCTCTCACTGCTGTGGCCTCTCCCGCTTCAGAGCACAGGCTCCAGACACGCAGGCTCAGAGGCCATGGCTCACGGGCCCAGACGCTCCACGGCATGTGGGATCTTCCCAGACCGGGGCACGAACCCGTGTCCCCTGCATCAGCAGGCGGACTCTCAACCACTGTGCCACCAGGGAAGCCCGGGAGGGAATTTTTAAACAAGAATTTTTTTTTAAAGCTGTGACAATAAAACAGAAAGAGATATATTCAACTACATTAAAATTAAGATCCTCTGCTCATCAAAAGACATCATGAAGAAAATTTTAAAACCAGCCACAAATTGCAAGAGGAAACATGACACACATGTAACCAACCAAGGACTTACTTATACAGGACTTATTTTTTTTCAATGCCAAAACTCAATATGAACAAGATAAACAAAAATGTGTACAGCAAATTGATAGAACAGGAAATATAAACATATAAAAAGATGCCTCAACCTTTGCTCAAACTGAGAAATGTGAATTAAGACCATAATGAGACATTAGTTTTTATCCACCAAACTGATAAAAATAAAGTAGACAGCACCAGTTACTGTAGAGGGTGGAGATCAACAGGAATACTCATACACTACAGGCGGGAGAATAAATTGGTACAACCCTATGGAACAATGTGCCATTTTCTTGAAAGTTAAACATTTACATTCTCTACATACCAACAATGTTAACAGAAGACATGAAAAAGAATACTACCCTTACTCTTAAGAGGAAAAAAAACAAAAGGAAACAACCCAAATATTAATTAACAGAAGAATCAATAAATAAATGGTATGGTTTAGTTTTGTAAAAAAAAAAAATATCTATCTATCTATCTATCTATCTATCTATATATATATATATATATATGTAAGCAGTAATTCCAAGCACAATATAAAAATTCCATTAATAGGTTTAGTAAACGTTACTCAAGACTTTTCACCTTGTTTCTCTTGGCCTTCATTTGAGCTTTTGCTAATAGAGCATACATGGTGACCTCAGCCTTATTCAAAGTGATCCCATCTAAGACCTGAATGGCCTTGTCATGTTTCTCACAAAATGAATAAATGAGTGCTTGCTGTATAGGACTCAACTCAATGAGACCTAAAAGGAAAGGAAAATTTATCAATAACTTTGCCAAGTATCTAGGACTTAGAATATAATTATTTTAAGACAGTCAAGCAATTCAATAATCTATTTTTACAATATGAATTAATAAATCAATATGATACTAAAATCTATTTACTGTCAACAAACAATAAGACATTCCAACTACAAACGAACAAACAAAAATAACAGCATAAGCCTGGTATTTCCTATAATAATCTCTCTCACAAAATTCACTAGGCTATGAAGCATTTTACAAATTGGTTACATACATGTGAAACTGAAGTTTTAGTTTCAAAATCTAACTTTGACTCTCAAGTGAACCCTTCATGCTACCTATACAGAGCTACTGAAAATAGTATAAAAAATTTAAAGAAGTATTTCTTTTTAAATTAAGATAACATTATAATTTTACATTGATTATATTTACCTTTGGTCATTTCTGCTACTTGATAAATAGTGAACTTTGCAAGATCATACCACTTCATCCTAAGAAGATATTGTCCTCTGGAAGAAATAACAGCTTTTTAATTCTAAGCAGTTAAAAATAATTTTTTAAAAATAAAGATTTTTATATTCAGTTACTTAAAATTTTAATACATTTATTCATACTTATTATAATACATTTATTCATACTTATGTATGACAAAAACAACGTGGAAATTATAAATATTTTATGTAAGTCTAAATAGGCCAATTAGCGTGGAGATGTGAGAAGAAAACAATTTAGGAAATGTGAAGCTGAAAGAAAAATAGATCTTATTGTAATTATCGGCATTTTAAAAGTTATACTCTGTTGCTGAGAAATTTTAAAAGCTAAACACAGTTTAAGGGGCATACCAATGGAGAAGTATTTACATAAATTGTTAAAATGTGGTTCAAGAGTTAAAAGACAAAGCAAGACCTTATCAGAAAGCATTGTTCCAGTCCATTTTCCCATTTTCTGTAAATCCATTTCCCATGTTAGTTAATTATAATATATTTTTGGTAGTGATAGCTCATAATTTGCAGTGGGTCCTTTTATAGCAAGCTCTACTGCATTTGAAATACAATTCAATGTATCTTTTTTTTTTCACTGAATTATCTGAGGTTAATACTTGGTACCTCTGGGTACACAATCAAAATATATTACCTTACTTTCACGAGATCTGTGATAACTATCTAACCAGTAATCTAGAGAGGCCTCAAAGAACTTAAACACAGACAGTTGTGTTTTGATGCAAGGACAGAACAAAGGGAAAGATCTGTTATCTTATATTATGAATTATCTTAAAGTTTAACAAAAACAACTATATCTGACTTGCTGATTTGGAGATGGCCATTTCTGGGAGATTAAATGTAAAACAAGGAGGCTGGAAGGATCAAGAAAGAACTAAGGATTCCAACAGCTAGCTCAGATACTAAGTTATCCCAAGAAGAATTCTATTTCTATACACATACCTTATTATATATAATTGGATTCCATCTGGCTGAAGGTGGATAGCACGAGATAACTCTCTTACTGCCTTTTTCAATTTGTGCAACTGTTGAGTGAGAAATAGAAACTTAGCTCATAATAATACTGATTGCTTCCTTTCTGATAGTTATTCCCTCCCACCCTTCAATACAGAAATTTTGCAGGAATCTCTCCTAATACATGTGTTTCTTAAGAATCATCAAAGCAAATGGGATACAGAGAAGTTAAAAAAAAGATTTATGAAGCAAAGTCTTTTTTTTTAAATTATCTTTAAATTTGAAGAATGATTACACAGATCCACAAATACATAGTTTTAAATAAATATGATTATATCATATATTCTAGTTTGTTTTTCTTTTTTGTTTAGCTTTTCAGTTTTCTCCCTCAACCGTAACACCTTTTACACCAAACTTTACTCATGTTAATAAACTAGCTTGCAAAGGAATGTAAAATAAAAAGTAAAAGTCAATTCCACTTAAAAATAAGAGAGGAAAAACAAGCTTGCACTGAAGGAGTAAAATGAATGAATAAAACAAAATACAACGATGAAAAAGATATCTGTTTAAAATCAATATACAATGAAAAGTAAACAATGATTCTTTCCTTAATACTGGTTACAGAGCATAATCTGAATTTATACAAATTTTTACAAACATTGGGGAAATTACAAAAGGGGGAACTAAACACATCCCAGCAAAATGAACCTGGGACAACCAACGACTCCTCTTACTATGCTGACATGGTAATCAAAACATCTGTGCATGGAAGTAGACAATACCTGTTAAAATGGTACGAAGTGTTTGGAGGAAATAGTGACTGGAGTCAAAAGAGGGAATTCAAAAGGAGGGAGTCTGAGATGTTTTTAAATAAATTTAAGAATTACTGTGGAACTTGAGGCCTGCTGCTTCTCAAGCTAACCCTGATCAGGTTGGTGTAATTAATAAACCACCTTGTCATATGCCTGCATTGCTCCACCTGGTTCCAATCATACATAGCTGTGCATTGAGGAAACCCTGACTGGGAATGATGGAAGCTCACTCTCTGGTCTTTGCAAGCTTTCCTGGGGTTGGACTTCTCCAGGAAGCATTAGATTGGATTTACCCTGGAGCCTAAACCCACACTGTAGGCATATGTATTCTTCTATATACATACACAGGGTCATTGTTTTATCTACATGGGATCATACTGTATACACTTTAAAGTCTTCTAAATCTTGTTCTAGAATATCTCTTGGAAATACCTCCAAATCACCTGGCATAATTCTAACTATTCTTTTTATTGACTATATAATACTCTATAGTGTGAATACAACAAAATTTATTCAACCATTACTGTGAAGAGGTTTTTGTCTCCTCAGAACAATGAGTCTTTGAATATATGTCCTTACACCTTGATATTATGCTGGTGCTTTGGTTTCTAAATATGCTCAGAGGAAATTCCAACTTCCCCATAAGGCCTCAGCTCCATCAACAGGGAGTGAAGCAAAAGGGCCACACACACTCCCCACCCCTTCCCAACAGGGATCAAAAGCAAACCTGCCCTGGGGACAATACCAAAACGGCCCCAGGGTCTTCTGCTTCCATCATCAGGAAGGTAAGGACTTAGTCACACTGCATCCTGAGATGAAGACAATGAGAACAGAGACTCTAGCAAACTCCCAATGGACATGAAGTGTGAGCAAGAAATGAACCTTTGTCACTTTAAGATGGTGATTTTGAAGTTTTATTTGTTGTTGTTGTTTTCCACAGCATAACAGGGTATCCTGACTGAAACCAATGTGGGGAGAGGACTTGTAGGAGATGAGGGCAGAAAGGTAACAAGGAGCCAGTTCACATGAGCTCTTGTAGGCCTTTGGCTTTTGCAAGATTTGGCTTTTATTCTGAGCACAAAGGGAAGCTATTGAAGGGTTCCAGGCAAAGAAGTGAAATAATCTGATTTATGTTTTAACAGGATCACTATGCTGCTGTTTTGAAAACCCATCAGAGAGGAATAAAGAACAGAAGCAAAAAGACCAGGAGGCTACTGCAATAACCCTGGTGAGAAATCAGTGTCTTGGACAGGACAGTTAATGATGGAGCAGTAGAAGGGAATATCTATTTTGAAAGGTAGACACAACAGCTAACAGTCTTTATCTCTGGAAAGTCCAAGTTGGTTGGAGTCAGAGAGAGCTCTTATTATTTACTATGTTGTTTGAATTTTACACTAAGGATATATTATTTTTTTAATTTAAATAACTTGTAAATTTTTTAAAAAATTTAAAGGAAAGTGTGAATGATTTGGACCCCATTCTATGCACAGATCTCATTCTATGAACTCACCCATTCACTCACTCCTCATACACACACACACAAAACTGATGGATTCGAAAATGTTAACAGTAGTTATCTCTAGAGAATGAAATAATGGATGTTTTTTAATGTATTCTTATTTGCATACATATATTACATGTGGTAAATATACATTGCTTTTGTAATAAGAAAAAAAACAGGCATTATTTAAAAAAAAAAAAAAAAAAGACAAAAATTCACACCTAATCAGGAGAGGATTTTTAAGTGGGTAATTATAGTTAACTATCAATATATCTATCTAATATGTATTGTTTATAAATGCATTAGGCTCTGTAATTAGCTGAAAAAGAATACATTGATATATTTTAAATTACATTGAACAAATATTCAAAAAATTAAAACATTTTTAAAAAATCAAAGTTCTCAAACCTTAAATACCTTATGATAGGCTTCTGCTCGACAAATATAGCTTTGAATATACATAGGGTCAAGTCTAATAGCCTCAGAAAAATACCAAGTGGCTTCAGTGTAGTTATCCAGGTGTAGTAGATATATGAGGCCAATATTTATATAAGCCAAAATAATGGTTCTAAAAAAAATGAGAAAGCAAAATATTCTTAGACATTTTAATTATTCCAGATGTTCTCCAATTATAAATGAACCTAATGAAATACATACGTCAATTTAAACCAGGGTTCTTTCTCTTGGACAGGACAGTTTTCCTAAAGCAAAGTAAATTAGTTAAATACTTTCTATTAAAAATTATAAACACCTTTATGAAATCCTTAGTTAGGAACAGACATTTGTAGAGTCTGTGCTAGGAACTGATTTCCTGAAGTCTCCTAGGCTCTTGGCAGTACTTGACTCTTCCTTGACTTAATCTTGACTTATCTTGGATAACAAGCTTAGTTTTCCTCAATTCAAAAGTTTTTGCCTCAAGCTATGCTATATTCGCCAAGAGAAAGGGTGAGGAACGGTAAGAGCAAATATTCTCGAGGCTTAGGGTTAAAAATCCTCTCCACAGAGGTATTAGCCCAGTTGCTTTTCTATATCAAATAAAAGTTGTTTTTCTCTCTTAGAATCAAACAATTTTCAGTGTAGAAATAACCTTAGAAATTATTTGTTCCACGCCTCTATTTCAAAATGAGGAAACTACACATTCTGTAGCCCAACTGCACAGAAGCCCTGACCCTTTTGCCGACTGCCCACTTTCTGGCTTTCTGCAACTGAAACTCATTTCTTTCTCTTCCTGACTCAAAAATATCCCAAAGAAAAACACTGTGTCCATTGTGGAGCCATGTTCCATGACTTTTCCCAAGTCAAGTTCAAAGTTTACCTTAAATAAGCTAAGTAAGCAGTCTGCCGGTTGGCACAGAATGGGCATGATTTGTTACTCTTTCTGACACCTTCTATTTTAAAGAATACTTCTTTGGAAAGAAGAGGAATTATTTAATTAAATTCTGCTTTTTACAGCCCGGCTTTCTGACTAGTGGATGTAACCTTCCAGTCTGTTCCTTCCTGAACCTGTGTTCTAATGGTATTTGCTTTACTAAACAAAATATAGCCAGAAGTTCTAAATAGAGGACTTCTTCCCACTGAGTGGTATACTGTGCCTAGCAACAATATAGCAAGCAAGTATTTTGCCATTATTTTAAAACTTGATGACAATTTTCCATGAACTTAACTTCAAAAAGTTTTAACCTGGGCATCCCCAAACTGCTCTTAATTACTGGTTGATTTTGCTATCCTTGGATTTAAACTCC